TCACAAATAGAGATGATTTTAATGAAATCGATTTTGCCGCAAATTCAAATTCCCCATCATATGGATCTTCTGAGAGCTTATTGAGCTCATTCTACTAACACCGAACTTATTCAAATCAATGCTTGAAATTAGTCGCATTGGTTTACATCAGCTATATATATATCATTTTTCATCATCGAGGTGTTTGTATTTTTTACAGATATCTTGTTTTTTGTTGCAATAAGTACAACATCCAACAAACGGGCGATGAATATCTTGGGGATGAGAGGTGTGAGGGCGAGGGATGAAGATGAGTTTGTAGAGATCCAGTGCTCACGTGAATATCAAAGTGTTGTTTAAGAGATCTTCATCAGGTGTTGAAGCTTCTCTCGTGCCTTGACTGAGACATTCTTCTGCGAGTTTCAAAGGCAAGAATGAACGAATGCAATGTTTGTGAATGGAGCCGATTGTCAACCGCCATGACCTGCTGTTGGTCTAGGTCGGAAAGAATTGTGTGGGTGTGGGTGGTGATGTAAGTGTTCACACGATTGATATCCACACCCACACTCACACCCCACCCCACATCCACCCACACCCTCATCGATACCACGGTCAACATTCATATTCAATCAAATAAAAATTCATCCATTTTGCACAAGTAATTTTGTTCGTGATGATCGTTGGTTTTAATATTGGACAATGAAATGTTTCAATGGTACTATCGATTCTACTCCACCATTTTATTGGATCGGTTTTTTGCAAGAATGGCTTGAAGTTTTTTAATTATGTTGAAATAGTATGTGGCCAATTCAATAAAAGTTTTTCTAAGATAGTGAATTCGTTTCAAGTAGAATATTATTTTCTCTCATTAACCCATTACGCAACTATATTTCAATGGAACAATTCATAATTGGAAAACTTCTCTTCAAAACCAGGTAGAATATAATGAAAAAAAGAGACCTTAAAAGCAGACTTTTTTACAGTTGTGAGCATCGAAATCGGAAGATTTCGCCGTACTATGCGACACTCTATTCTAATAGACGAAAAATATCTATGATGATATTGATCTTTTACAGAAAGAGGGCAAAACATCAGTAGATAAATCTGAAAAAGCAAAATAGCATTGCTCTAGTGTCACTGAAAGCAATATGCACCACTATATCTTTTATGTAGATTTACCAAATAGACTCGGCTAAATTCTATTCAGTGGAACAAAGTATTCAACAGAATAAATTAATTTCATTTGATTTTATTGGTCCTTCTTTGATATCCAAGCCAATCAATAACACATGGATTCTCGAGTAGGCTTCAGGTATTACCGACGACATTAATCATCTGCCATGCGATTGTGAACAAGTTTTTCTATGTTTAAAACCATTGGGTTTCTATAGCTATTCATCGTTGGATACACAAACGAATGCCATACCATATCAACTTCTTCCTACCATACATCCTACTTGTCACCTTTTAGATTTCGGTTATTCCACACTAGACGGTTTTTACAATGAATCATGCGTTCAGATGCTGATTGATCAGCGTCTTTATGGTTATGAAAATATCTATTTGCCAATTAATTTGAGCAATATAACAGCACTTAATCCAAATGATTTCATTATTTAAAAGCCTGAATCCGAGTTAAGAGTTCCCATGTTACTCGGTTTTGTTAATCAATGGATCTCTATAGGAAATTATACGTTGTATTATGCTCAATGTCAGCCAGAGATATGTACCTATAAAATAGATACGGAATTACAAGCTATTACTCGTGTTAACTTAATTATTGGTCTGATTGGAGGACTAACTGTTGTACTTCGTTTCTTAGTTCCATCTTTCATCAAAATTGTCTATCTGATTTATCATTTGGGCTATCAGCAAAGACGAGGTGAGACAATCTATTCGTCGATTATTTAATTATCTTGAATTATTTTAGATATTCGTTTACGTTGGAGAATGATTATAACCTATATTCGAGATAAAATTTATCTCATGAATGGGTACTGAAGAAAACCACAAGTGAAATATCAACATTTGGCAACAATAATCTACATGGTTCTATCTTTCGTAATTGTCTCAGTTTTTGTGCGATTTCAGCATCGGACAATATTGATAAGAGTAGATTCACAGTATGAAACTTACTTTTCATATCTGCACAGTCAATATTCTGATAGTTTATCATGTCCTTGTACAAATGAAGCTATTTCTTGGTTGAATTTTTCATCCTTCTCATGCGCATTAAAAGAAAACTGCCTTCAGATCATGTTTCAAGCGTATTATATGATGTTACTGTTACCAGCAAACATATTCTGGGAAGAATACAGTTGGAATCTCATACAACCACAAATGCATATCCTATATTATCGATGTCTTTTCTCTATGTATAGTTCAATCCAGATAGGGTGTGAGTGTGATTCTTCTGCTCATCTGCAACCACCCACCCACACCCACATTCTCTTTCAGGTTTTTTTTGTGGCTTAATTTTATTTTATTCATTTCAATGATTGATCAATGTTCTTTCAATTGAAATCATTTATCCCTACAATAGGGTGTATATTCGATGCCTACATTTTTTGACTCTGTATATCTGTATTAAATAAGGGAGTAACAAAATGAAAAACAATAAAATTATTCGATCGGTAATTTGATAGCGTTTATGATAATACTTCCAACATGTGATGAAAGTGGTGCGTGTGCCTGATTACGATTTTCAGTCAACTTTCTGATGAAACTTAACGGATTGGATGAGAAACGGCATTGATGAAGTTGTAATCGTTGTCGATACTCTAAGTTTTCCACAAAGCCATCGATACTAATCCAACCCTTGTCAAAAGCATTGGTTTCAGTCTCGTTTCGAGGTTTCAAACATAGACCAAGAAATTTACAATAAGCATCTTGTTCTCGTTTATTTTCAAAGTAGATCGTTCCATTAAATGCAAACAATGCTACCAAAATTCCAATTGGAATAGAATAGTCCGGAATTTCAGGATCAGATGAAATCAACGGAGGAATCGTAAGGGTTCGTGCATTGATTAGTGTTGATTGATCTCGTCTAGTACGTGGTAACAATAAACGTAATGTTGTTTGCATTAATTTCTGAGATGGTGATTTATGGTAAAGATATTGAAGCCGACCCATCAGTTCATTAGCTTCGTAGGGACTTAAAAATATGATGTGTTGATTACGATAGATGAGTATCCAACGTGGAGGACGTAGAAATGGATCTAACGATTCTCCTTTCGTTTGAATGACCCGCTTGAATTCAGTAGTAATCCACAGATTTTCTTCCCAACAACCTGGTTGACTTTCACGATAGAATGTCGTACCTATGAAAGCATCCGTAATAGGACAAAACACATTAGGTAAGTGTGACAAATTCAATATTGGATCTTCCATTTCACATAGGTTCATAATTTCATGATGCAGTATTGGTTCGCAGGGAACGGCAGCTATAGGTCGTACTTGTTGGCGTTCTTCTTCTGCTTCTTGTTCGCGTTCTAGTTCTCGTTGCTGTTCTTCATCTAATAATTGTGTTAGAAGTGTTTTCGAACCACCATAGTCGAGCAATCGCTTTGAAACTGCTTCATGAATTTCAATGGAATAGCCAGTATTCGAATATTGATAGCGAGCCGAGTAGATCTCATACACTGTTTGAAACGTTTTCTTATGGCCATACATAGTTTTTAAATCTAAGATTTCAGCTTCTAAACTTGCTTTGGCTAAATTTTCCATCATGATATTTGTAAAAATTTGCTGATCATTTTTCCAATTAATATTCCAAAAAGCAGAAATTTTTTGCTGAAAACTTAAGCTCTGTATTGCCCAATGGTGTAATCCATCCCATGTTGCCTGTTGAGTATTTTCATATACCCAACGAAGAATATCAGTTAAAGAAATATGATCGTTGACAATTTCTTTTTCCTTATACAAAGTTGAAGATTTCTTTAATATTTGTATTTGATGATGCACTTCGCTTGAACTCCAGAAACTTAACCAATGGTGTTTACCTAATTTTCTCATTCTCATGCATGCTTGAACTAATCGATCTTTGGTAAGACCATTACCTAAAGTAACAGCTGCTCTAAATTCATTGGGAAACTTGAAGTCTGTGCCTCGCGTATGAATTTCATCCAAGTAAAATAGGCAACGATCGAGTCGTTCACTAGCAGGAGATGTCGAAAATGCATGGTGTTGATATTGACGATCACAAACAAATATTGCATCCATTTCAAAATATACAGCATAATCTATTCTATTTGTATTCGAGAGGTCTAACCACTTAATGGCTATTTGACGGTTATTTCCATCAATAAATAATGCGCCAACATCCAGTATAACTTGAATCATTGGTTCAGTAATAACGATTTGTTTTAGAATCTCTTCCGAACTTGCACTAATAGGCAAATCTTGATAATGTTCATTTTTCGGTTGAAGTAAATTATTAAGAACAACTGCATCAGTTTTCTTTAGTTCCGACAAATCACACTGTTGGATATGAACCGGTAATAATAATTGCGTGTCATTAGTACCACTAAATCCAGTCATTATTTTCTTACGTGCCGATGAAGATAAATCCCAAGGGGAAGCAATTAATTTATGAGGAAATTGTTTTGATTCATGAGGATAGACGAAATTATTGAGAAAATAATTTATAACTTGTACATTTCGTCGGAAAGTTGGAAAAAGTTGTTCAGTTCGTTGATGCTTATCTTTTAGATTGACTTGTTTCCATTGTTTAATGCGTACAATTGTATCATTGTCTTCTTCAAGTGAAATCCATTCATTATAGATCACTTCCGGATCATTTTCATTCTGACTCAAACGATCAAAACATTGACGTAACTGTAGATCACTCAATCCACCATAATAATAAGAAATTTGTGTTAGAACAAGACCCACATCTGGATGTCCGAATTCTGTATTTTCTGCTGCAACATCTTTCGCACGAAATGGTACGGCCATTAGACGATTAAATTTTGGATTAGGATTGACGCCGAAATTGACACGATAGCGTTTTTTCAATGCAACAAAAAGAACTTCCGATGATAGAAGACCTGGCATGATGAGCAATAGCTGAACTATATTATAAGGAAATCGATCTTTTAGACAGGTAATTGGTACACTTGTATCAAGTATGAATTGTAAGATAAGTTCTTCATCTAATTGACGAAAGGTTTTTTCATTTAGCCAGTCCTTTGCAATTCTTTTACATAACTCTGGAAACGGTCGATGATTAAGTAAACGAAATTCTGGAAAACTACTTTTACGTTCTGACACTTTATATGAAATATCATCGCTGTAGTCTGTTGCGATGCTTGTAGCATGTTTTTTAACTAAGTTGAGTACTGATTGAATAGTTCTCCAACGTTCTAAACCTCCATCGACTTGTTTCTGACCACCAATTGAATAAATCAATTGGTATTTAACATGCAGAATTTCATCAGATTCATCCAGGATATCACGAACGTATGTTTTCATCCAACGTTGAGTCGATAACATTGACCGACCAACATCAAACTCATTTCGTCGACATTTATCTATTGTAAGCAAATCAAACGATAAAATGTCTTCAGGTGAAGTTAGAACCACATCACGTTGACTTAATCCATATTGTAGACGATTGAAAATCTGATTTGCTTGCGATTCACTAAAATTCATATCACGACGACATGAAAATGACAGTACACGTCGATTTAATAAGCCACCTAATTTGTACCGTACTGATTGATAGTTTGTTGGAAATAAAGATTTTAATACAATGATACGAACTAAACTTGACGACGATGAACATAAACTAAGAGCTAACATAGGCACAATTACGGAAGTTTTGCCTTCACCCATATTCAGTTGCATAACGGTATTACGCATATTGGATTCACTATTATTATTCATTATTGGCTGGGTCATATGACGTGCTACCTCAACTTGTATTTCTCGAATGGTAATATTCATTTCAAGCTCCATTATTAACCATGGTAGATTTTGTGATGGCGCCCAGTTCGCGTGTGGCACATTTGATATTTCTCTTTCAAAGTCTTCCCATTTATTTTGATAACCGAAGTGTAAAGCTCGTTCTATTTGTTGTTCTACAATCCAATTAACCATGGTTCCACCAAGTAATACACGTTGATCAGGAGTGAGAACTAATACCGGAGCATTTCTACTGTTGATTTCAGTTTCGTTCAACCATGTTTGATGGAAAACCGTTAGCAACGTTGTTGGCAGAAATCGTGCTGCTAAACCTGTTTTAAACAGTAGTTGATTTGTGAAAATGATGGATTTTCCTAATTCGCTCCAGCTTTGCCTCGATTCTTGACGAAGAGAATGAAGAAATTGTTCGATGATATTCAACGATGGGTATTCTTTTTGATATTCTTCAAGCATATTAAATTGATTCCAACTTTCTGCTAAGTGTTCTTTAAAGTACTTGGCGATATCGCTGATGAGGTTGACTTGAGAATCGGTTGAAGGAAAGATTTCCTTCGGAAATTCTTTTTTCTCATTCGTGATTCGAACACATGCAGTTGGTTTGATAAAATAATCAGAATGAGGATGCATAAATTTTAATCTTGCACTTTCGAGAAGTTTTTGATCGATGTTTGTATCTGCTAATTTCAGATGGATTT